AGTAATAGTTTGCGGGTTCTGGGACAAAACAGCTAGCCGCCTGCACCGATTGAAATCTCATCTCCCTTTTTTGCCCTAGAAGTGCTTATATTACTACTATGTTTGTATTTTTTTTAAATCTTTTAGATTCGTGGTTTTTATTTGTGATTATATTTATATTATATATAATGAGTCTGGGAAACGTATTAGATGTTGAAAATTCTATAAATGGTAGTGTAACAAATTATAATATTAATATTAATTTAAGATCAGATCCTAAAATCATCTTTAAAGATAATCGAACTAGAATTTTAGATCTTCTTAATAGAAATCAACGTCCTTATAAAGCCAGATTAAAGGTATTAATTAGATTTAAAAAAGAGATGGAGCCTATAGAATATTCAGATTCATATATTAAAACAGAACAAGATTTAGTTTTAGATTCTACTAATATTCAATCTTTATATAAGTACTGGATTCGTAGTATATTACGAGATATTGAAGAAAAAGAATTAGCAGGATCTGGTTGGCGGTATTATAAATTCATAAAAATTAAAATTGAAGTTACTAGCGTCGATATTGTTTCTGGAAGTTCATATTTTGAGTTGCCAGATTTTATAAAGAAAAAGAGCGCAGTGGTTAATATAAAAAATAAAGATGAAGCTTGTTTTAAATGGGCTGTTACCCGAGCCGTATTTCCAAAAGATGTTCATCCAGAACGAGTCGATAAAGAATTAATTGAAAATTCTAAAAAACTAGATTGGACGGATGTTAAATTCCCCGCAACTTATGAAGATATTGATATTTTTGAAGAAAATAATGATTATTCTATTAATGTAATTTTATATGAAGGAGGAAAATTCTGTGTTGGTCGTATTAGTCAAAATAAAAATAATCCAATTGATCTTTTATTAATAAAAAAATATACTAAAACTCATTATTGTTGGATTAAAAATATATCCAGACTTATAAGTTCTCAAGTCGATTCTCACAAGAATAGAAAGTGGTTTTGTAGACGGTGTTTGAATGGATTTTATAAAGAAGATGTATATAATGAACATCAAGAATATTGTTTAGAAAATAAACCTTGCCGAATTAGAATGCCTAAATCTGGATCTAAAATAACTTTTAAAGACTTTAAAAAATCAATGAAAGTTCCTTTTATAATTTATGCTGATTTCGAATGTTATACCATGAAAATAAGCTCATGTCCGCCTAATCCGGAAAAATCTTATACAGAAAAGAAACAGTTTCATGAACCTTCAGGCTATTGTTATTATTTAAAATCAATTAATGATATTTTAAAGCCCCGACTTATTCGATATACAGGTCCACACGCCGGTAAAAAATTCGTTGAATCTATAGAAGAAAAAATAATTGAATTATATTCTAATTTAAAAATAAAAGAAGTTGAATTAACAGATGAAGAAGAATGGGCTTTTGAAGATGCTGATATTTGTCATATTTGTAATCAATTTCTAAACGGAGACAAAGTTTTAGATCATTGCCATTTAACTGGTAAATATAGAGGAGCTGCTCATAATTCTTGTAATCTAAATTATCAAATTCCGGACCATATTCCAGTCGTGTTTCATAATTTATCTGGCTATGATTGCCATTTATTTATTAAAAGTTTAGGATTATCAGACGGTAAAATAACCGCAATCGCGAATACAGAAGAAAAATATATTTCATTTAGTAAAACTATTAAAGTAGGTGAAAAAAATGGAAAACCTATTCGAAAAGAAATAAGATTCATCGATTCATTTAAATTTATGGCTAAATCGCTTGGTTCGCTGGTTTCTTATTTATATGATGAAGGAAAAGGAAAAAATCAATTTCAAAATCTAGATCGATATTTTGACGATATTGATTTATTATTGAGAAAAGGTGTCTTTCCATATGATTATTTCGATTCAGAAGAAAAATTAGAAGAAACAAGATTACCGCCTATTGAAGCATTTTATAGCAGTCTTTCTAAATCTAAAATTGAAGATGAAGATTATGAGCATGCTCAAAAAGTTTGGAGTTTTTATAATATAAAAAATTTAAAAGAATATCATGATTTATATTTAAAATGCGACGTTCTTCAATTAGCAGACGTATTTGAGAGTTTTAGAGATGTTTGTTTGAATTATTATGGTTTGGATCCGGCTTGGTATTACACTACACCAGGGCTGGCCTGGTCGGCTTTGTTGAAGAAGAGTAAAGTCGAATTGGATCTTCTTTCAGATTCTAATAAACATTTAATGATTGAAAACGGAAAACGTGGTGGGCTGTCGGTTATTACAAAAAGGCACGCCAAAGCCAATAATCCATATATGGTTGAAGGATATGATCCCGAAAAAGAAACTATTTATTTAAAATATCTTGATGCCAATAATTTATATGGATATCCGATGATTAATAATATTCCATATGCCGACTTTCGTTGGGTTCCCGAAAAAGAATTTAAGAATTGGAAGAATTTTCCGTGTATTTTAGAAGTCGATTTAGAATATCCAAAAGAACTTCACAGTCTTCATAATGATTATCCTTGCGCGCCGGAGAAAGTTAAACTTGGTGATGTATATAAATTATGTGCTACTTTGAATAATAAGGAAAAATATGTCATCCACCATAAATTATTAAAAATGTATATGCAGTTGGGGTTAAAATTAAAAAAAATTCATAAAATTATTAGGTTTAAAGAATCAACTTGGATGAAATCATATGTTGATTTTAATACAGAAAGAAGGGCTGAAGCTAAAAATGAATTTGAAAGAGAATTCTTTAAATTAATGAATAATTCGGTCTTTGGAAAGACGATTGAGAATGTTAGAAATAGGCAAAATATTGTTCTTGTTAGTAATGAAAAAAAATTAAAAAAGCTGGCTTCTAGAGTTAATTTTAAAAGTCGAACTATATTTTCTGATAGCCTAGTTGCTGTCCATATGATTAAAGATGAAATTATATTAGATAAACCAATATATATTGGAATGACTATTTTAGACGTGTCAAAAAGTTTAATGTATGATTTTCATTATAATTATATTAAGCCTAAATACGGTGAAAATGCAGCTTTATGTTTCACGGATACGGATAGTTTATTATATGAAATAAAAACTGAAGACTTCTATAAAGATATTAAACCAGATTTAGATTTATGGTTCGATTCATCAAATTTAGTCGGACCCACGCATCCTATTATTCAAGCTTCTAAATTAAACAAAAAGAAAATAGGATATATGAAAGATGAAACGGCTTTTAGGGAGATTCACGAATTTGTTGGGTTGCGGGCTAAATTATATTCTTATTTATATGAAGAATATGATAAAAAAAAAGGGTGAAGTTGTATTGAAAAAGCCTGCTAAGAAGGCGAAGGGTGTAACCAGGGCAGCCAAGGATACTTTGGATATAAATGATTACCGAGACTGCCTATATGGCGGAAAGAATGTTCTTCTAGAAATGAATGTTATTAGAAGCCATAATCATGACATATATTTGGAAACCATTAATAAAGTGGCTTTATCTAATTTTGACGACAAAAGAATTGTATTAAAAGACGGAATCCATACAAACGCCATAGGTTACGTCGCATTTTCTGGAGGCAATTGAGTATCCGTCACAACCTGTAATTCTTCTTTAACAAAATTCCGTTTCGGAGCACCTTCTGATAAATAATATAAAACCGGTTGATTTTCCGAAAAAAACAGTTTTATTTATATTAAAAGTATCCAAAGACCAATTAGGATCAGTAGCTCTCTGGCTATTACCACCCTCATATTCACCAGGCTGATATAAATATCTAACTGTTACGTTAGCCGGCAATCTTTCTTCTTTTAATCCAACAGGTCTTTTATATGTTACATGTTTTTCATCAACATTATTTAATTTAATAGCTTCTAAAGGGGTTTTACCCGTAATTCTTTTAACGCCGCTGTTAATAGATTTTATAACCGATGGCAATCTTTTTACCCATTCGCGATTCCTATCATCACTTGTCATTTCTTTGGCATATTGGTAGCTGAAAAGTTTTTCGGCAATWGTTTTATTAGCACGTTCAACTAAAGCTTGTGCTCTATGATTATTAGCTTCTGATCTTTGTATGTTGTATATTTTTGTAACCTCGCCTTTGAATTCAGTGCCCGGATCAACAATAATAGTTTCTGGCTTTCGCAACTTTCGTGAATATATTTTTCCAAACGCTGCTGCAACCTCCGATGCATATTT